CTCAGTTCACAGCCATCAGCCGGCGCCTGCTGCGCTCCTACCGCACGGACGTCGACGAGCTCCTCGCGGAAATCGACCGCTGCCTGGCCGTGAACCGCGGCGTCCTGCAGCAGCTGGACGGGCCGCGGGGCCGCCGGCTCACGGACGGCGACTGGCGGAGAATCCAGACCCAGGTAGGCTTGCCTTGGTGGCGGGAGCGGCGCAGCCCCGGGCCTGTGGGGACCCTGGACCTTAACCGCGCGGCCGGGTGACTGAAACGCCACTGTGACGCCGACGACAGCCTGTCGGCTGAAAACGCCAAAGGGAGCAGGCCGCCCTGGTGTCGTCTTCCTCGCCGCTTCCTGCCGCCCCCCGCTCCCCTTGGGGTCTGTGGGGGCCACAGGAGACAGGGTGACTGGGAACCCAACAGGGGCAAGACGTACTTGAATGTCGTAAAAGTAGGAAAAATTACAAAGATATTTAGCAGCTACAGAGTCCATTTTCTGGGGAAAAAAACACCACTATTGCTAATTAAAAAGAAATCTATGTTGTCAATATTCAGCATTTTATAAAGAATTTTTGCTTTTAAGTTTCTTACCGCAGGCAGGTAACTATCCCTTCATTCCCACAAGAGCAACAGAATGGATATATGATTAGTATATGTTTAGTGTTATTTTAACACAGGATGAAACATCTCCCTTAAATCTGGACAAAACTGAGAGCCCACAGGACCAGCTCACGTCTCCTCCTGTGTTGCAGGCCCTGCACCGGGACACCTTGGAATGCTCCATCTGTCTCACGCCCCTGTCGGTGAGCAGCAACAGCCCCGCTGGGCCCTCAGGGACTGGGCCGGGTGGTGGCCAGCCTCCCCGCCAGACGGTGCTCCTGTCCTGCTCACACATGTTCCACCACGCGTGTCTCCTTGCCCTGGAGCAGTTCTCCTGGGGGGGCTGCTCTCCCTTCCATGCCTGTCCACTCTGCCGCTCCTGCTACCAGAAGAAAATTCTCGAAAGTTGAATTCACAGTCAGGAAAAAGTTACATCATTCTGGGGCAAAGTCTGCCTTAATTTTGGAGAAATTGTGGGAGTTTGGGGTTAAGTACTACAGTGTAATTTGTTTTCGGGTGGAGAAACCCTTAGTAGTTGTACATAGGAAACCTAACTGTTATTAAAGCTGACAACTCACCCAGTTTTAGTCATTAGTCTATAAAAAGCATTTCAAATTTATGGGTTTAATCAGTTGAAACAAGTAAGGGATGTAGCTTCTGAGGTCCTATAACTCACTGACTTGCTATACATCTAGACCGGTGGAGACTGCTCAGCGCAGTAAAACGCCCCTCCCTTTCCCGGCAGTCTGTGCGTTCACCTGGCCTATTTCCACGAAGTTCTGGTTGGCACCCTCGAGGCGTGGTCACTGCGCGTGGCTGGTGTCTGACCAACAGGTGCCTTGAGGCCCCTCTGCCATCCTCACACCGCTTTGTACTGGCTGCCCTGTTATGTGATAAATCCCTCTGCACTTCAGCCCTTGAATTCGTGAAACTAAAGCACGCGGTGGTACTCGGCATCGGAAGATGGTCAGTCCCGTTTTCGTGACTTAGGGCCACCCACCCTGTTTCAGCTCATCCCTGAGAAACCCCATGAACAGCTTGACAGGAAGTGCCCTGACCCTGCTGGACTCTCCCTGGGACCTGGCTGTTTACAATGACCAGGGACAGTTGTGCGGGTTACACACCCAGCTGCTGCAGCAGACAAGGCCCCCAAAACTTATGGGAAATGGCAGATTTTGACGGCTTCAAAATTTTAAATTTCCTTACAGCAAAAAACAAAGGGGGGAGGTGATAGAGACATCTGTAATAAGTGTCAACAATAAAAAAGTTAAAGAATAAATTTAAAGTTAAAAAATAGGAAAAATATTTACAACACACCTGACAAATATTTAATATTCACATGACAGAGTTTTATACACAATATCGTGAAACACCAAAGACAAATGCTGCAGGACCTTTAAGGACTTTTAAACAGTTGTCAGTTATTTCTATACAGCCTGATGTTAAAAGTTGAAAAGGCTTATTTTATGCCTTTATAGGAGCTGCTACAACTAATTACGACATTACCTTAGAGATATCGAGCAATTAGAATATTTAAATTTTCCCGATAACAGCTAACACCGGTCAGGCGCCTGCTGCTCAGGCTCAAGAGCCACAGGCAGGCAGGTGTGTGTGAATTGTGGACGTGAAACCCTCCCACGTCCCATTTCTGCCCTTGCGGTTGAGTGCAGAGAGCTGTGGATACTGTTACCTAAGCCTCCCACACAGCCAGGTTCTGCCCATTTTACACAGGGAAAGAGTGAGGAAACCGAGGCCTGGGAGGCGTGAGGCTCCGCCAGCTCGCCCTGGGGCTGGAGGTCCCCAGATCCAGGCCTGTGCCCTGAACCGGCCACACCAATGGATCTGCGCCCCCTCCCCACATGGAGCAGCTGGACCGTGGGACACCAAGCAGAGAGAACCGTGGCCTGTAAGGACTTCCCCGAAACCATCTTCCTCTCAAGGCCATCAGGCCACATTCTTAAGGCCCAAATACCTCACACGTGTTCTCTACCTGGTTCACTGTCCCCATCGAGACAGAGGTGACAACTTTGGTTTAAAGGAACTGATGTTTTGGTAGTAAGGGCTCTGCCACCCAATCACGGGGCGGGGTAGGGGGGCTCCTGTCTGAAAACGGGCGCTTGCTTCTCATGGGCCGTAACCGATGAGTAAAATACATCGGAGAAGCCGCCTACATGAAGTGGTTAAGGGTGGGGACAAGGGAGCCTGCCGGCCCAGGGTTTGAACCCTGAGTCCCGTGGGTCCTTGGGCAGGTTACTCACCCTGTCTGTGCTGCAGCTTCCCACCTGCAACGTGGGGACAACACTAACAGTGCCCACCTCCCAGGGCCGTCACGGGGGTGAGATGTCACAGTGCCCGGCACGGGAGCGCCAGGTGGTCGCTGTTGCTAGTACTCTCACTGCTGCTTTAAAGCAGGAAGCCCCTTTTCCAAGCCACGTGTATAAAACTGGCCTCACTTTACCACCTCACCTTGGAAACCTGATGTTAGCCGCGCTGCTCAATGTTTGGCAGCATTTAATCTGGAAAGAAACAGGTTTGCTGAGTTCATGGAGACCGGGCTTCTGCCCTGCTTTCCAGTGCCCCTCAGCACCCCAGGCGACTGGGGTGCAAACACGTGGTTGTCCAGTAAACCCTCAATGCAACAGACTAATTCCGATGAAGGGGTGTCGTCAAAGCTGAAAGTCCGTGACAGAATAAAACAGGTTTTCCGAACGTGTATGTCAAAAAACTGACAGTTTACCTGCCTTTACTTACGTAGACACTTGTGTGTAACTAAAATTACGTATGAAAAGCTTAATGTCACAGAAAAGTTTTCTAAACGTGTCGCTGTGATTTTAAATTTATACTGAGTAGGTCTAGTAAACGCGGACATGCACCCGTCACCCCGAGTAAGCAGATGCACCTGGCTGGGGCGGGGCGTAGCCCACTGGGAACAGCCCACAGGGGTTAAAACTGCTGCAGAAAGTCACCCCCGTGACAGCAGAAGCAGTTACCGCGCCCCATGCAGTGTGACCACATGCTAATCATTCGCCGAACACTGTTTACGAGCGGTGACTCTTGGACTTAAATGTGCAGACTGTAGTTGTAGGTATGTGATACGCATTTACGTGGGCGAATCACTGCAGTCTTTCTTCCAACATACGGCCTATTCGCTAAAATGTGTTAAAAGTGACAGTGAATTAATAACAAAAAATAACCTAATTTTAATTATAAGCAAATCTTGGTTAAAAGCATCTTAAAATTAACATGATGCTAATTTTCACATATGACATACGGACCGGAAATTTTGTTTGTCATATCCGAAGTCTGTTAAATCAAGGTCCACAAAATCGAGGGGTTACTGTACCTTGCGATGGAAGATTCGTTACCTGCTATTTGAAAGTTCCAAACCCGCGGATGGGAGTCACTAGACCAAAACCCCCGAACCAGGAAGAGGCAAGGCCGCGTGGCACTGGCCTGCGCTCAAGCTGAGACCTGAGACACATGTCTTGACACTGTGTCAGGAGCTCACCTGTGAAATGGGTGACACACCTTCCCATGGAGGTGGTGTGAGCACTTGCCTGGCCCGGCGCCACTTCAACATCATGGGGACTCAGATAAGAAGGAGAGGTGGGCCACTGCTCCGACGCCAAGAGAAGTCCGAGAAGCACTCTGAGGACCGAGGGGCAGGTTGGGGGGGAGACAGCGTTGGCTTCGGCAGGAGCTCCTCTCACCTGACGGTCCGCTGGCCAAGCCCACCGTTCACCAATACAGAAAACTGAGATTTCCACAGCTGCAGCGTCACTGTGACAGCAACCACTGTACCATGTCCCTGCTGCTCGGCTGCCACTGTTGGTGAGCAGCACCCTCGCTAACAGCTTCTCAAAGGGAAAGACGTTACAGCACACCCAGTAACCCATCCCCAGCGAATCCCTGCCCCCCGCGGTCACACACGAAAGGTCCCTGCTGGCCACGACCACGCTGTTCATGCTTCTCTGTCTCTGGACCTATTTTGTTTGTGGGGTTATTTTTGTTCATTCGGTTCCACACATAAGCGGAGAGTATTATGCTAAGCGAAATAAGCCAGTCAGAGAAAGATAAGTGTCACAGGATCTCACTCATATGTGGGATCTAATGAACACAATAAACCGATGAACAAAAAATAGATCCAGAGGCATGGAAGCATGGAGCGGACGGGGGGGACTCAGAGGGAAGGGGGTGGGGAGAGGTTAACCGAAGAATTTTTATGCACAGCCCGGGGACACAGTGTGGTGAAGGCCTCAGGGTACCAATGGGGAAAAAATGGGGGACATCTGTAATACCCTCAACAATAAAGATAAATATATTTTTTAAAACACATTTCAGTGCTTACAAGTACTCATTTTTGTATAACTTCCATTTTGAACTTTTTTTTTTTGCACTTTAATCTGACATTTAAAAGGTCACACTATCTCATAGAAACAACAAGACCAACAGTTTGTAAACAAAACTCCCTGTAAACAAGCCAGTGCCTACAAACATTATTTTTAAGTAACATGATACCAGCTTTTTTAAAGTTTAGAGTCAGTACTGTATGTACCATCATATTTTTTTTAAATTACTGTAAGAATTCTGCCTTTATTCATTATATACTGTGCAAACAAAGCCATATGGGGCTTCTGACCACATAGGCCTGTGCTGTGGGCAGATTTGGGGAGACCAAGGCCACAGGGGGACCACTGTGGTCCAGCAAAGTCAGGCAGGTGTGGTGCCCCGAAGACCAGATGTGCACGCACCTGTAATGCACCTGGGAACCAGGACCACAGCGAGGTTCCATCTCGCCCACCACCCGGCCTCAGGGTGGCACTGAGAGCTAACGTGTGTGCATGTACTCAGAGCAGGTCTATCTTATAGAGAAGGTTCATAAAGCTGAGTAAACAGTAAGCCTAAGAACCACCTTGGAAAATCATTACAAGTGTTATCATCTGTACATTTTATAATTTTAAAATGATCTATTTAAATATGCAGAACCAGTCAATGATAGGAGTTGGCTGAGTCTCCTCAGGAAACCTGTACCACCAGGGCCTCACCCCTTCAGAGCAGACTCTGAACGGCCTGTGGTCGATGCACTGCCCCGCCCCCCACTCTGTCCCAGATAAACAACGTGGCTGCTCCTGCACCAGCCACACAACTGTGAGGAGCTGGGACAGGTGCCTTCCCCACCAGCCCTCACCCGTCACAGATCCTGCAGCCAACCCATGTCCCTAACACCCTGCATGTATACCCTGTGACCAGAACGTGCCCGCTGTCTGCAGAGCCTCTCGTGGCCAGATCATGCGGGACACAGAGTGTGTGATAGCCTGTGCTAGTGTCCACAGCAGGCCTCCCATGGAGCATGGCCAGGAGGCTCAGGAAGTGATGATGGCGTTACTGCCTCCAGATCCAGACGGGGTTCAGTCCTCAGACAGAAACGGCTAGTGAACAGACCTGCTACACACACCACAAAGTTCACCGTTTTACTCGGACATCTCACAAATGCCTAGGACCTTCCTCTGGACGTGCCCTGACCTCAGTGTGACCTCAAAGAGATGCCCTTTTACTGAAAGGGGCTTCTCTTCTCCGGGACCTGCTCTGCTCCAAGTACGGAATCAGGTGAGTCTCGGTGAAAATCAAAGCCTGCACTCAACACTTAAACAGGTATGACAACCAGAGAGATTAGAAAGCAGCCAACTTTTATTAGTTTTCTCATATGCGGATCTTACACTGACAAAGTCACCAACAAGAACGCGTGGCTCACTGAGCGTTGCTCACAATCATGAAATGCTCCTTTAGAAAGTAAGCTGTGTGTCAGCCGAGGCTCAGAGGAAGGGGGGGTGTAAACAAAGGGCAGGTGCAGCCCGTGGGGCTCACAACACACATTAATCCTCCTCATTTCGGCTCCAAGTGGAAATTTTTTATGTCCAATATATACAGCCTGGCTTTCATTATTCCTCCCCCAAAAAGCTTTAAATGCAACGATTTGAGAAAAAAGTCCTTTTACAGCTGTCTGCACACAGGACCTGTCCACACACACAGGGCACATGTCTTTACAGACGTGAACACGTGTGTGTATGTAGAGACCGAATGCAACCAACCGTGCGGGCAGCCCTCAGATTCTATACCCACAGTCTCGGGGCTTGGTCCCTGGATGGCTAAGGACAATTTTACTCAGTGGAACTGGGGTTGAGACACTATCCCGAGAACTATTTAAGGCTTAGCGTAGCACTGAATGGCTATCAGGTGACGACCCTGGGCCAAACTCATGCCATGAACCCAATCCTGTGCTTTTGGTGCTAAACTGACCACTTTTGCAGGTCTGAGGTGTACACTGGGAAAAGTGCCAGACCCTGAAAGGTGTGGGAAAAGGGGTCTCTACCCAAGTGTTTAGATTCATGATGAGCCCGGGGAAGGAGCTAAGGGAGCTTTGGAAAAGGGGGTTAGAAACGGAGTGTACAGGCAGCCATAAGGCAAGCCTAGGTCACAGTGTCTCCACTGGCAACTGTGTCGTGAGCGGCGACACTGACTGACACACGAACGCGGGGGGGACTGGGCTGGTACACTCCCTACCGCTGGTCATGCCAGGACTACGAGTCTTAGGGGTAAAGAAATCAGTTTTCCCTGGACCCAGAGCCCCACCAGCATCTGTAACATACATCACAACTGTGCTTCATTCCTTTGTCAAGGACATGGAGAGCACCGCAGGTGCCCACAGCACCCAAGGGCCATCGCACCTCCTGCACGACCTCAAACCTCAACCTCCCCTCTCAGGTCCCAGCAGCAGGGTCACCTTCCCCCAGCTTGATCCTGCATAAACAGATCCAGATCGTGGGTTTCAGTGAATCCTCAGAGCCCACAGGTTCTCACGGTGTCTCACGTGGTGGCTGCCGACTGGCGCCAGGTGACGTGGGTGTTTGGTTGGAACCAGCAGGGCCACATGGAGTATAAGGGGCCCCACGGCAGCCAGATCCTCAGCAGACGATTGAAAGGTGAGCACGGCCACCGTGAGCACCCCTACCGGCGGAATGTTGCGAGTCGGCCCTGGTCTCTGCCTGCACTGCACGGGGCCGAGTCTCAAAGGGCCTTCTGGTGCCCGTTCGCCGAAGGCTTGGCTGTGTCTGAGTCGCGAGGAGCCCGGGACAGGTGCAGCTTGTGGAGCCCTTCAGGAAAATGGGAAATGGTGAGAGGAGGGGTAGATGCTGGGCAGGGGACAGGGGTCACTAATGAGGGGGAGTGTTACTATGGACACAGGGTGCAGGCCAGACCCCTCCCCCCCAGGGAAGCTAGAGAGCCTCCCAGTACCCAGAGTCCTGCCTCCCCCAGGATTTTCTCCCCTAGCACTTCTATCACCTGCACACCTGGGCCTGCCCTGCGCACAGCACCCGCAGCGCCAACCCTCCTGCAAGCCTGTTCCCACCCCAAATGGCACTTCTCAGGGAGCCCAACCCCAGATATGCATGATCCACTTTTATTTCAAAATACACACAAATGAAGAACACACAGGAAAACGTGTGGACAGACACAGCACAGTATCAAGCATGTATTTAAGAAGAAAGGCAATGGAAAACATTACCCAAAAGAAGAAAGAAACGGCAAAGCAATGAGTTGAACACAGTATTTCAGGGAATAGAAAGTGTCACTGTGTGAGTTACAGTAACCTCCCTGTGTCGTGTCACCACAGCAACCACTCACATAAAACACCCAACACAGAACATCACTGTGCCCTTCTGAGGAACCATGTCTATGAGGTCCAGGCCTGTGTGACCCTGAAAACTGTGCTTGGTAAGACGATTCCCCAGAATCCAGGTGGGTATCCACTGACTGCTGGCAATGCTATACCACTTACACCCACACAGCACCCCAAACTATAGCATTTCTATCACCTGCACACCTGGGGAGAGTAAAGGTAGAACAGCCTGTCTGTGACGGGTAGAGGGAGAGAAATCAGTCCAACACACAGCACTTCTGGTCCCAGGGGTGGCGACCCCTGAGTTACAGCAGCCGCCCAGCTGCGGGGCATGGGGAGGGAGCGTGGAGACCCCTGGCTGTCCCAGCACCCCCTCCTGGGAGGTAATTTCAGTCAGTTCCTGATGAAACTCTAGTGCCGCTCGGGCTGAGGTTCTGGGAACTAGTGTCTGTCTGTGAGGAAGCCGCCACAGGCACCGCCATTCATAGCTAAGCTGTGTCCGCTGTGCAGACGCCCTGACAGGAGGTCAGAGCGCTGAGCCCAGTGGCCCTGCTGCTCACAGGCAGCCGCCCATTCCAGCGGATGCCACATGGGAGCTGAGCTAGGATTATGGCCCAGGGGTCCTGAGTTTTAACTCTGGGCCCTGCCTGGAAGGACTGTCTCACCCCTGCCATCGTGCAGATGCCATGGCCGCATCCCAAGACCTGGGCCTGGGATCCACCTACTTTCTGGTGCTGCGGCTGAAGTGAGATGTCGCTTTTCCCTTTCAGGCCCGTCTTCCATCGGCCACCTCCTCAAAGGTGGGTATAAAGTAAAACACAAACGAACAGATAACCTGAGATCTTCCCTCCTCCCCCAGGTCCCCCTTCCATCACTGGGTTAGAGAACTGTGGGAGCCAAGCTTTGCTGTTGCTCACAAAGCTGTCACCTGCACACAGGACCTCAGGTCGTCATCATCACGCCACCTATGCGAGAGTGAAATCCACAGCAGAGGCGAGCGAGAGCTCCGGCGCGTGAGCTCACGTCAGGTTTTCCTACCACAAACCACGGCCTCTCCCTCTTTTACTATGAAAGTTCACAGCCCACACCCCACCGGGCAGATGTGTGGGGTCCTTTACACTGTACCAGGGTTTCCAAAATGTAAGCCTTCAGCACATTCCTTCCTCATCTCCCTGGATTACCATCATCATCACAACAAAATTGCTGATGCTTCCTGAAGTCCTATTATGCGCCAGGGCTATGCGCAGGCCCTTACAGGAACTGCGTCCGTTAATGATCACAACAGTACTCAAAATAAGGAGACAGCACCACCTTACAGGTGAGGAAGGTGGGGCTTAATAGGCGAGTCACACAGGGGTCAGGCACGTGACCTCAAGTGAAGACTGAAAGTTAACGCTAACGTAAACGTGACTAACTAGCAGAGAGAGCGGAAAACAAGCAGCACATTCGATTACCTAGGGCCTTGAGGAGCTCCTCCCGCACCGCAGAGGTGAACTTCCTGACCAGACACAGTGTGGTCACAATCGCAAAGAGCAAATTGTAGGACAGCACAATGTAGAAGTTGCCCAGCCAGTTAAACCTTCCAAAGTCTCCCAGCAGATCGAATCTCGTGATTCCTGTGAGAAACAAACAAGCAGCCCTGACAATCAGGCACAGTGGTCACACAGCACAGCATACAGTCCGAGTCAGCTCACATTCTGTGCACAGCCCACCTCCACCCAGGACCCTGCCCCGTCCAACCCGGCCGGCCAGCCGGCCCTGCTGCTCACCCAGCGCCGCTCACGCGTACTTTACACTCACAGTCAGGAGCCCGCCCTCCGCTCGTGGGGGACAGGGGCACGTGCGCACTGACCCAGGACCCTGGGAGTCGTTATGAAAAAGCCACCTGACACCCCACCCCACCCTCTGCGTATCTCCTCCCTCTGCAGGTCCTGTTCAGTCCCCTCCACATGAACTTCAGTGGTTTCAGCCAAGAGATATTTTATCTTTAGAGCCAAAGACATCTTTGAGAATGTGGTGGGAGTCATGGATCTTTTCATAAGAAAAACACACAAGCCCTGGCCAGTGTTGCTAAGTGGTAGAGCATCAGCCCACACACCTAAGGACTGCAGGTTCGATTCCCAGTCAAGGGCACATGCCCGGGTTGTGGGCTCGATCAATGACTCCAATAATTCAGGAGGTCACAGTTCAATTCCTGGTCAGGGCACATGTCCAGGTTGTGGGCTCAATCCCCCACAGGGGACATGCAGGAGGCAGCCAGTCAATGACTCTCTCATCATTGATGTTTCTCTCTCTCCCTCTCCCTTCCTCTCTCTGAAATCAATTAAGACATATTAAAAAAAAAAACAATTAAAATGTTTTCATTGTTAACATTTTAAAACTGTATCTTAAGGCTCCTTCCAGCTGAATGATCCTAACTGGGATTACTTTCATATGAGAAACATTGTATAACAAACTAGAAGTTGAGATGTTTGGATGTGTGTCAGCAGATGGCTAAGTCATTTGGATAATGTGTGGCCGTGACATCTTCTCAGGTGAGATTGTGAGCCTGAAGCCAGGGCAGCATCAGAACATGACAAGTAGGTGCCAGGACTGAGGGTGTGTAGGGGGAGCACTGGTCACTTTCTGAATTCTCAGGCATTGGACTCAGAATACTTCCCCTTTATTAAAAATCCTAACTAGGTACACAGACTGTTTAGAGATGAGAACATCAGTGATTAGTGAAGCGTTCATCAGCACCACCCATTTATCACTGTCCACTAAATAACGGAAACTGATTAAGTCATACACACATTTTTTGCTGAGAACTTTTCAACATGAGGTTTGGAAGTATCTTACATCAAAGTCATGACTAGGGGAATATGTGATGACTTACGCTCCTATTTCACACTGGGACCTGGGAGGGAGAGCCCAGAGAAAAGATGAGCAGGATATTTACAAAACCCCAACTGAAAGCGTCTCCAGAAAGGATGGAAACTAAAAGGAACCTTCACCAAAGAGCAAAGGAGAACATTCTGTGTTGCCTCCTGCAGGGATGATGAACTACGGGGCCCTGAAGAGAAATACGCAAACACAAGTGAATCCAGCTGATTTAGAAAGTAAGTGTTTTTGTGTTCCTAACACAGGCACATTTTTATATCTGCATTTGGGCCCTGCAGAGCTAACAAGTCACAGAAGGAATCTCAGAATGAAAAAAGTAACTGTAAAAGTAATTTTAAAATAGAAATTAGCAAAAGTATTGCAAGGTCTGTTGGTTACGGTTGAGAAACATTTTCTGGTTAAATTAAATAAAGAATATAAAAAACTGTCAGCCCCTCAGTTGTTCCTTGATTAAGCATAATAAAGAGCATGTCAGCAGCCAGACACAATCTGTTTACAAAATTCTCTGCTGCATTTAAAATAGTTTATTATAGGTCAGTTATTAGACCTGGTCCTGTTCTACTTTCACCAGCCAACCATCTCCTCTAATCACCTGAGAGTCTGTTGTTGACTGAAAGTATGGACATCAAATCCCTCAGATGTTGGATCTTCAAAACCGGCAGCCAGCCATGGTCTGGACGCCAGCCACTGGACCGGCACTACTCCTTGTAAAGGGCTTTACAGAGCTCGAATAAAAAGTGCAGGGCACAGATGTTCTGTGTTCCCTATAAGTAACAAAACTATCAATAGTAATTATATTTGACTAAAAGGACATGGTCAAAATTTTTCCCACATACCTTTGTGGCAAGCGATATGCTTATAAAATCCACTTAGTGGTAATTTTTCAATTAGTATAATTAGTACTAATTTTTCAATTAGTACAAAATTTTCCAGTCAAATATAAGAAGCTATTCCAAATGAATTTTTAAATAAGTGTGTTATATCACACCAGACTTATGTCTTAAGCTACTACAGTTTATGCTTACCAGGCAGCAACAGTGGCAGTTGGCAAATTAAAAAACAACCTCCCAGAACACCAAATTAGTTTTTTATATGGGATTCAATATATTTTCAATTTATAATTAAAGCTATAATCATCATGTAAAAACTATTAAACTAAGAGAAAGCTGCATGTCGCAGGAGACTATCGTGCTCCAGGTCACTTTGTTTCTCAGTTAACTGAGTGGTAGGCGGCTGCCGGAGGTCAGCTCTCCTCTGGGAGGGGTGAGGCGGTGGAGACACGCAGCCTGGAATTCGGTGGTTCAACACACCCTCTATTCTGGTCTGATAAGCTTTTCAGCCAGTAAATCTAAGTCCCGTTACACAGCAGGATAATTGTCCTGACAATTTTATCTTCTTAAAATCAAAGGCTCACTTTTAAAGAGTTGACTGAGGAACTACAAAGTAGCCCCCAAGTCTGCATTTCCCATAACACTAAAGCTCCCTCTCGCGCCGGGAAATTTGCTTTTTCAGCACCGGGACAGGCCTCTATGGATCTGTTTGGCGCATTTGCTGCTTTTCATCTATTCAGTGCCGCTGGCATGACAGGTAGTGCATGTGTGCTGGAGCTGGGCAGAGCGCACGGGACCACTGCACCCTAATGCCCTCAGTTAATCCTGTTTGGACAGCTGGGCCCGGCATTTGTTAGCTGCCTTTTAATTGTTCCATCTTTCCTTTTCTCCTTTTTATCTATCTCTATGGCAAACTACTAGGAATCTAATGTGTTGATCTTCAAAAAGCAAATTCTGCAATTAATTTGCTTTCTTTGCATTAAAACTATATTCAGCATGTAATTTTGTTCCATAAAATCAGTATGTTGCTATGAACAATTTTAAATAACACAACACAGTGAGTCTCATAAACAAAAGGAGGGTGGCTGTACCATCACAGAAATTATTTGTTGGACTGTCATGATACATACGACAACATTTAGCTATAAATCAAATTACAAAAGTGCCTACTTTTGGCACTTTTGAGGTTGGCACACCATAAGCAGATGTCAAAACAATCACAAGTCCAATAAAGCAACACAAAAGAATTAAAAAATAAGCTTTGTGTCAGTCTGCAGAAGAGCAGACTGAGATTTTTTATATTTATACTGAGATTTCACTTTTATGAAAATGTGAAATTCCTTGTGAGAACTATAAAAACAGGATAAAGTGTGTGCTTTCCTGGTGCAGCCGCAGCCCTGATGGCCATGCGTCCTAAATAAATAATGATGTGCTATAAGAGCTAAAACAAAAGCAGCTCCAGTTACTAGTCATTTTTGTTGTGAGCAAGTTGCTGAGGCTGAATGACGGGATGTTTCCTAATTGTCGGTGAACACTCTCAGGTCAAACCCTAAGCCTAGGAAACCAAACTCCTACTGTACACCTGTCTGCGGCAGCATCAGCCCAGACCCGAGCATCGGGTCCACACAGTGCCTCATGGGGGAAAAGGCCAGATGAAGACCTTCCAGCCGCTCCTACAACAAAGAGGAAACACTTTACTTTTAAAGAGGACCGAAATTCTGTAAATGGAAAAACTAAAAAACTTTCACAAACGACAGGCACGGGGATCCTGACTACAGGCTGCCCTTTAAATCCCTGCCAGCTCTCCAAGACCTCGCAGCCGTCGAGCCTGCTCCATGGACACAACGCAGCTGAAAATAAGTCTGACAGATTTTCAATTTTTAAACCACATACTAAATTATAAGTTTTAAAAACATTTCACATAAGAAAAATTAGTTTAATATTTTATAAACATTAAACACTTTTTAAAAATAAAAATCAGTTTCCTCACTAGAGACTCAAAAGCTTAACTAGTCAGTGAACAAAAAATTCCAGTGTAGAGAAGACATATTTTTAAATATTGAAAAAAAAATGGCCTTCACGTGATCAAAGGACTTGTTGGTACAACCATCTATATAATGAAGTGTAGGAGTAAAGGGGTAAAATCAAGGGACGGGGGGGAGTAACACATCTTGAAGGGGGACCTTCAGAGACTGAAACTTAAGGGGATTGGGATCTCCCTTAACTCACCCAGGGTGCGGGACATGACGGGCAGGGCGGAGCTCAGGACCAGCAGTGACACGCAGTTCCCAATGATCTGCAGGAGGAACAAGGAGACAGGCAACCGGTTATGCTCGCCCTCAAGAATTAATGCATTTACTATCTCTGACTATTTTTAAAGCCAACTACTGCTCACAATACAACTCCAAAGCACAATTCCTAGTGATCCGCTCTCCGTGTGCCTACGCTCACTCTCTCGTGGTCAACAGGAGCTGGACATGCTGATGGACACCTGTCATCACTTACACCAGATCCATGCAGCTCAGGAACTCACAGGGTGTTAGGCAGATACATCGATAGACAGACAAATGATAAACAGGAAATAAGTTCTCTCTTTAGAAAGGACAACAATATGGAATATGGAATAAAATAAAAGAAGCCAGCCACTAGTGCAGCTGTCCTTCATTGTCAGCCTGTGGGAACGCTTTACAGAGCTGCAGCCACTGTGTAACAGCCTGAGCTGCTCCAAGCCAAGGACACATTGTAGAAAGTCAAATCAGCCTCAGACTGCAAAATGTTTCTGAATAGACCTCTTCCTTCTTGCTTTAATTATTCAAATTTGAAACACTTTGTCTCCGCTACTTGTAGCAATGAGGTGCTTCAGATCTCAAGCAAGCTCTCCGAGTGCAGTCAGCACCACCGAAGTGGCTCATTAGCGGAGATTTTCTTTGCAAGAGAAGCTCCTTTCAGGGCCTCTACCCAGCTAACAAGCTCTGTCCTCTGCATTTACAAGTGAATGGACGCCGTCCAAATTACACAGCACATCCTTTCCCACTCCGTCAGCCTCTGAAAATCTCCCAGTTTGTGTTTACGCAACTCACAAAAAAATACCTATGGCCACAGAGAAACCATTCAGGGCAATCACTAAATAAGAAAATCGGTGTGGCTTGGAAGGCCAAGGGAAAGCACAGTCGCCTGAAACTTTACCTTACCTTTGTCATGGTTGTGTCATCTTTCTTGGGAATAAAGTCTCCAAAAAATCGGAGGCTGTAGAAACCGACGACAGAGGACACCATCAGATAGCTGTGAGAATCAAGGGAAAAACCTCCAAAGAATGTGGGCTGCGTTAAGTTCTCAGTAGTCTCTGAAAGTCCTAAGGCCCAAAGGAAACTCAAAACAAAACCAAAAGCCACTTGGAGTGCCTGCGGAAGAATGGCTTGTTTTTCCTCCAGGCAAGTGTCTTAGTAAATTGCCACCGTCCCAGAAAACCAGGCAGAAAACTTGTTAACAGACAGACGTTTGGTGAAAGAAAGGATACAAAATCAAAATGATTTCAAGTGCAGCTCCCACAAAACCAAAAGCAGAGAGGGAGGCATTTCCTATCCCAGGCCCCTGGGGGGAAAAACACTTGTCAGATTTCAATGACACTATTATATGTGGTTTCCCTAAAACTGTGGTTTCACAAATAGAGGACAGTTGAAATTAGGGATGTTTAATGCCCTGGAATAATGTCTAGACTTTAAAGGACTATAAAATGTGACATTAGACCGAGTTCATCAACTACTTCAACCACACATCAACAATTTTAACAAGCTCAAAACATTCCTGATTTATCTCAAATTTAAGTTACTTATCAAAATAATATGATTATGCTTACTGTGAAATCCTGAATATGCTTGGAAGAAATCTTTGAAAAATATAATAGTACAATAGGAATAAAGTATATAATTACCCAAACCCTGAGGCGACATATAAAAATTGCACAATTAAAGTGTGTCAAACGTAAGCTAAGCACAGGAAGGGGCGAATGTGCATGTCCTGTTTTGACCCTTGGAAGTCTTTCCCCAAGTCTTCCTTGGAAATTCAGAGTTTTAAAAGACATAACTTAACCCAGATTTTTTTAATGTAATGCTGTAAGTTTTTTCCTAAGCGTTATAACATGTCTTTACACTAGGACTTAACAAAACAACAAACAGAAAAGTAGTAGGATTTGTCAATGAGGCTAGACAATAAAAAACGATTTCTTAGTGAAGCAGGAACAGTATTTCCACAGCTCACTCACTAAAGGCACTAACCATATGAATATGAACGATTATTTTACTATCAGCTTCTATTACATCTAACAGAAATACCAAAATAATTTAGAATTATAGTCACACTAAGAAAAAATAAACCAATAAATAATAACTATTTCATAGACATTCTAATTTAGGCATAATGAAGTAAGAATACCCATGGAAATGTCACATATGATTAAGACAAGGGCAAAGACTTTATCGACGTTTGTCAACTTTGTGAAGAGGAAGGACTCATGCTAATAGCAAGCTTACTGGCTGTGATGGGGCTCGGTGCAGACCACCCCAAAACATGCCAATGTGGCACGTTGGTTACTTCTAATTAGCTATTAGAGAAAGAGTCAGTGCAAGAAGAACACTCTGGCCTCCTCTGTTCCCCTAAACACAAGGAACAAAAATCTCTATGCAGAGAGGATGCATGGCATTCTCATGGCAGAGGCAGGGGATTCAGGACAGAGGTCTCAGTACAAACTTGTTACTTCTCATTACGTTGCTAACCCAAATGCAAACCCTTTGTTTTGTGCAATCTCCACAAACAACTGTCTCTTTGAATAAAAATGGTATATATATATACTGCCTGCCTTGGTCATTTTTTGCAGTCTCATTTCTATGGGGCCTCCTTATGTACATACATAATTAAACTCGACTTTCTCCTGTTTTTCTGTCTTGGGTCAATTTAATTCTTAGACCAGCCAAAAGAACCTAGAAGGGTGGAAGAAAAAATTTTTCCTCCCCAACAACTGGGATGGAAAACATTTTGGAAATATTTCGTACCTTCAGGGGCCTACAGGCAGGATTAAGGTGACCTGATTTATTTACATGATCATGCAAGGACCCTACCAGGTTTAAGACCCTCTCTACTATGCACTAAAGGGATGGTACAAAAATGTGCCGTGGGACTTAGGCTTAAGGGAACAGGTATGTCACCTGACTCGGAGAGAGAAGTGCATCAAAAGTCTAAAAGAGTTTTGAAGTCCTTTCTATGGGGAATGGGAAAGCGGCTGACTTAGGAAACTATAATAAAATATCAAAACTTAAATGCTACTTTAAGTATCCAAAAGTTTATAGAGACACCTAGAAAAACTATGCCAAATATGAATATTTAGTGGTAACTACCTTCTTTATGGAGAATATATTCAAATCGGCTAATTGACAGAATTTAATAAAATCAACAATTTTTTTAAAAGAGAGAAAACAAAGTTAACTCATAAAAAGATGCACCTCTGACTCTCCGCCAGTAACTGGACATTTTGACTCAGTGTCACAAGACGTGTGACTCCCTTCAACCACACCTTTGCATCTCTCCCAAACCCAATGAGTCCATTTAATAAAGTCTTCCTATGTCACTATTTCAGAGTGTACATTTTCTTAAAGAATTGCAAGTAATGAATTTCAGTAAGACAAAGATAAACTCTGTTATGAAGTGTATCTGACTCTTGATAAAAGGCCCAGCCAATCCAAAGTAAAATATCAGAAACAAAAACCATAGTTTATAAATACCAATTGTGCGGGCCCCTTGCATAAAGAAATTCATACAGCTTTAGCATACGCAAGCAGAATACTTTTGCAAGAGAAAGACGTGTTAAAACATTCTTTACCCTCGTTCCCTTTGGCATTGCTGTCTCATCAACCAGCAGGCAAAGGGTATTACAGGCCACCAGGAGAACTGAGATGGACTAGGACAAAGAAAGGAAGCTGTCAGTTCTGCATCTCAGAGACATTTGGCCAATACACATACATTAAAACCTAAGTGAACAACCAACTGCATGCTTCAGAGGAGAGGAAAAGTGGTCCAGATCAAAATTCTACATACAAACCTAATGTCATCAGACTATCTACAAAACCCTAGAATAAACTCTAAAAAACTCTGTAAATTATAATTTCAAGGCTTGTGACAAGCGCTAATAACACAGATCCACTTACTAACTGATCTTACCAACTGGAAATCCAAACTCCACAGATTTTAAAAATGGTTAAAATGCTTTCAAAACTGATTTCCTAACATAATTCTTACATCCTCTCGTAGAGTCTGAAGCAGGTTCTGCAGCACCTTGTCTCCTATTAATTTTCAATGAAACAAATTTCCTGCTTTCATGAAGAAATAGATAATTTCAAGGACTTTTAAAAACCTACCATTAATTTCTACTTTGGCTCTCTCCAGCATCTATAAAGGCATAGATGCATTTCAGTCTTACTGATAGGAACCCAGTTTACCTGGAACCACTCAGCTGAGAGGAGTGGCCACACTCAGATGGTACAGTAAATATAAAATAATTTGCTTTATGTAACCGGGCAAGTCAGTTCCTACCGTCTCAATGAGAAGGAGAACCATGACCGCAGGATACACCAAGTTTCTCTCCCAAGCCGACGCTTTCTTCCGCCTCTCTAGTGGAAGGAGAAACAACATAGCAAAAGATTCCAGTAACTGCCAAAATCCTCTCCAGACTCACATTGTCATTCCTCACTACTATAACCAGTAGGTATTATTTTTACATAATTTGTTCTTTTTTAAAACAGAAATTATTTAAAATTTTCCTCCACAAACTAGAAAAATAAAAGTTTTAGAATCAGTAGAAAAATGTTTATACCAATGTTATTCACAACAGCAGAAGGCTGGAAACACATCAAACATCCACCACCAACAGCAGGACAAAGAAAGTAACTTCCGGCCACATAACGTTTACGAACATGAAAGCGACTGAATAGCGCGTATGATTCTCAACAACACAATACTGGACTTGCACTTCTGAAGACAGAGTGATAACAGGGACCAGAATTACTGTCCAGCCTGAAATAATTAAGAAGCCAAAAAAAACACGTACATGAAACAGCAGTTTTCAAGACCTTGGCCATCTGATCACTGAAGGACAACAGTCTCGGAAAGATGGGAAACAAACAATGTGAGCCTGTGTCGGCCCCAGCTCACTGTCTTGAGAGAGCTTCTGGGCCACAGTGCAGGGAGGAGGAACCCATGCAGAGCCTAGTTCATTCCTTGAGTTGAGGACATACAATGGGAGTCTGGGGAAGACCAAGTCAGCAGGATTTTGCAGAGCAAAGCGCCAGAGAAGAGACTGCTGCACGAAGAAAGAACTCCAAGGACTGGAGCAGGGTAATGATCAGCCCAGGTATGTAAAGAAAGAACAGCCAATGGCTGATAAAGAAAAACCACCCAAAATGAGTAGAAGGAACAGTATCCAACAATCACAAAAGGCCAAGAATCATGCTGCTCCCCAAGACATTGGGGTGCTGGGTAGAGTGCGTAGAAGGGTCTTGCCTCAGGAGCAGGGAACTATTAGCCCTAGACGAAATGTCACTCTGGCCTAGCCTCACAAGTCTTCCAGGCAAGACCTGATGATATCAAACTGTTTCCAAGTAACTTCACTGCATCCCAAAACAAAGTTCCTCGCTTACAGAAATACAAAAATATCAGCACCAAACAATGTAAGATTCAGTGTCTAGTATCCAATCAAAAGTTGCCATGTGTGCAAAAAAGCACAAAAATACAGTAAGTCCATTGATTGAAACTTTTTTAGAACAAACACATAAAAGTATTATTGTAACTGTATCCCATATTTTCAAAAAGTTAAAGTACATAAATTAAAGATGTCAGACATATGGAAGATATAAAACAGGCCTAAACAACTTCTAGTGATAAAAACTCCAGTGTCTGAGGAAAAAAATACAGTAGGTGGGATTAAATGCAGACTAGACACTCAGAAGAAAAATTAGTAAACATGAAGACACAGCAATACAACTATCTGAAATGAAAAACACAGAGGGGAAAAAAACATGAAAATAAGGGAACATCCTTGAGCTATGGGGCCATTTTACATGAGCTAATGTACATGAAATCAGAGTCCTTGGAAAGGGAGGCACAGATGGAAGAAGAAAAAATATTTGGAAAGTAATGGCAAAATTTTCCACATTAGATGAAAATTACACATTCCCAGGTAAAAACAAAACAAACAAACAAAAAACAATGAACCCAAAAGACAAGAAACATAAATAAAATTACTCAAAGGCGCATCACAAAAAAATTGTTCTAAATCAATGATGGAGAGGAGATCTGAAAAGATAAAGACACACTGAAGGACAAGAATGACAGGTGATTGCTTGTCTGAAATAATGCAAGTGAAAAGACAATGGAACATCACCTTTCCGCATCAGTAAGTTTTGAAAAGTCAATTTGTACACATACAAAAAAACAAAAAGTAAGTCAATACGTTTGTATCCTCTCCCCAAACTAAAGCACAGTCTTTGTCGATGGCTTTGGACAGATTGAAAGCTTGTAACATAAACTAAAGATTTCATAATTTCTTTAATATTTCAGACTACAGGAAAGTCTATAATTAAGAAATCAAGGCCAGCACACAAGTCAAGGGGAGGGGAGGGAATGTACCTAATTTTGTCTTCAGAGTCTTTACATTTTCAAGTTCTTGTTCCAGCTCCATCACATTGTCTTCCACTGATGAAGACAGTCCTGTTGAAAGCAAAAATATTTCAGAAGTATAACAACAGAACCCCTAAAGAGTATAGAACAGGTGGCCCTCACATTCAATTAAAATATAATGATAACACACTGCAAATCCTAGTCATTGAGAACGAAAAAAATGCTGCTGTGATTCACAGAAAAGTATATCCATTTTTTACCACTTAAAACTTCCAAGCTCTGCCCGGCCGGGCGTGGCTAAGCGGTTGAGCATCGACCTAGAATCCAGGCGATCGGGGTTCGATTCTCGGTCAGGGCACATGCCCGGGTTGCGGGCTTGGTCAATGACTCTCTCATCATTGATGTTTCTATCTCTGTCTCTCCCTCTCCTTTCCTCTCTCTGAAATCAATAAAGATATATTTTTAAAAAAAACTTCCAAGCTCTTGCTGATGAAACACTACGTTTCCTAGAAAACGTATTACTTTGATAAAATTCTAATTTGATCTATTATTAATTTTGTATTACTTATAAAAGTATCATATGCTTATTATACAGTAAAAGAAAGTCCAGACCTCTCGCCATCCCACCTTCCTACAGTGACAATGGCTGACAGTATGGTCGATGTGCCCACATCTTTCCCCACAGTCAGATGCAAGCACACATTCAAATACACTTTACCTGCGGGTTTCATCATTTATTGGATAAGAATCAGTCCAATCAGACACACTATTTTGCCGCTTGCTCTCCTAGTGTCGAGTCCTCAACAGCTAAGTAATATTCCAGAGTGTGGACATATTTCAGTTTTATTCAAAGTCATTCCATTTATGAACAGCCAAGTTTCCCTCAGTTTTGTGCCATACAAACAACGCTGTGGTTCACAGTCCTGAATGCACACCCAGTACACTCTGGCTTTGTTATTTCTGAAGGACAGATTCCCAAAACTCTGCTGATTAAAAGGGTGTGAGCACTGACATATAAGAGGTACTTAAGGGCTACTTCTCCTCAAATACTATAATTTATTGGAACAGCTTAATTTATCATAGTAATTTACATTTCTACCAACAGCTTTGAAAATACCTATTTCCCAATCTCTTCCCTAGCCCTGGATGTTGTCACTCTTGAAGTTTTGCCAATTTGATTTGTAAACACATTTCTTATTGTTACTTTAACATGCGCTTCCCTAAATGTGGTCGAGCATCTTTTCATGTTTACCCAACACGGGGGTTTTCCCTGCTCCAGTTTTCTGCTTGTTTCTCTAAGGGTCTGTCCAGCTCCATGTTCTTTCTTATCTGCTGAATTCTGACACAAAACAATTAAAACCCCCACTGCAATTGTGCTTCAGGAGGCACTCTCAGTTTTCGTTTTTTTATTATGTTTGTAATTGTGTGTTTTTTGTTTTGTTCCTGCAAGACTGTTATATCTTCCTTATGAATCACAATTTCTATCAGTACATAATGACCCTCTTTAGGTTACTGATTTTCAACTTAAAATTCTGTTTTATGGACTTTAAGTTCCACTTTCCTCTAGTTTTTACCTATCTTACTTACTTACATATAAGAAACAAAGAGGGAAAGATTCAAGTTATAGAGGCATTATTTTGTGGGTTAGCCTTTATCAGTCAGTGTTCACTGGTTATAAGCTGCTGGAATGGACTCTATTAAAACAGGAAAGGAACTCATGGGAGACAGACCAGTCTTCAGCGAGTGGTGATGCTCCTACCCCCTGCACACCTAGTCAGGTCAGATGGTCCCTCAATCAGTGACAAACAGGCTGGAGGGCCCAGCAGTTTCTGTTCTTGGCGACAGGGAATGGACTGGACAGACACACAGACTCAGAAGGAAGGAGCCTCGGTGCTAAGGAGTCTCTCAGGGTGCAAGCAGCACTCCTTTTGCAACGGGAAAGGCTGAGGGAGAAGTCAGCCCCCCCACGCAGGCTTCAGCTGAGTGTGGACTAGGAAACTCAGGGCCTCCTTTCTGAGCCTTCAGTCTTGCCCAGGTTCCTAGGAGAAGTGAGACCTGCCCTTCCATCCATCACTGGAGACAAAGACCCAACACCCTCTCGCCTGGAGAGCCTGAGGTCTTGAATGCCCGGGAATGTTACATGGTATTCCCAGAACACAGGAGTTTAATCATTTTACTTGTCAATATACAATTTATAAGAGAATGGGGGTGAAGACAATACAGAGATATTCAGGTAGCGTGTCCCAAAACTACTCAATTTTAACTACAAATTTAGTTTAGAGTTTCTGGGAGCCAAAGCAAAAAGGGAAATAATTAGGTTACAAAGTTAATGGATATTTCCACATAACAAGGAGACTGACAGTAAGTGGCAGAGTGGTATGAGACTCTCAAGTGTCTCTGAATGTAGTAGTCTTAGAGACAGTACATTTTACTTTGTAAATCATTCTTCCTGTTACAGGGTGTGCATCTGTTGTTAGCGCTCATTCAGCTTCTATGTCTGATTAATTACAAATACAACCCAAATGCATCCCATTCCCTGTACCTATAGAGGATGTGATTCCAGCAACCAGTTCAGGTCAGAAAAATCATTTGGTGAGTGTCCAGAATTCTGAAAGGGGGCAGGCATCAAACAGACTGTACTGCTGCTGCCACTTTAAAATTAAGAAAAGAGACACAAATGCCTACTGGTGGTCATGATGTCTACAAGCCTCGATACTCATGCCCACCAGTGTGTTATTTTCCCAAGGAAAGCGGTGTTTCTGAAATGCTGTGTGCTTGTTTTGGGTGACACATATGAGACACACAGTAGGCAGGTAATTAATCCTGACTTGCCTACTAAAATCAAGAAAACATCCTTACTGTCCTCCGAGAAATCCTGCCTTTGTTAAATGACTGGCTTCACCTGGAGTAACACGTTTCAAAACCACCCCACCCTACTGTACCCATCATCACCAGGTGAGAACAGGGCCTTTTTTCTGGGCAGAAAGCTCCTCATCAGTGACCAAAGGACATGATGGCTGTCAGAGGAACCACGGTAACTGCAAACAAACCCTGGAATGTCACACAGACTTAAGTTGCGCCAACGAAATCCCTACAATATCTTGCAGAACTGTATCATCAACACTTCATTTCAGAATGAATCCAGAAGCTCAGCGTCAGCATTGTCTAGTCAATAAGTCAAATTGGTAGACAAAACCTGTTTGGGCTAGTCGGGAAGTAAGAAGGGGTTCTCCAGGACAACCACAAGGCAGCTCGTTCAAGGTCAATTTAACGGTATTACTCTGTTTTCCTCCCAGCCTCCACACAAGATTTCACTACCTCAAAGGAAACTGTAAGAGTATCTATTTGCATTCCCCCAGGTGACTGGCAGTTCAACACCAATTAGTTCAAAATTACACTGTTCCCTGCGTGCAATAAAAACAATGCCTTTCATCTCCCTTACACGGGGAGGGTGACTTCAGAGCCAATAACTTTGATCAAGTAAGTATTTTTGATCCTGCCCCACCCGTCTCTTTGGATTCAGGAAAACTAATAGCTGAAGGCAACTTTTCCCAGCTTTACTCTGAAGCTGAAAACTTAGTGTGCTGTTGAAAATGTTTTCATATTTTGCTTCCAAGATAACAGCATTTCCCAAAGTCCAGCATTTCTCCAGTAACTGAGCTGTCCTTACATGTTTTCTTAATACACAAGACAGCCCTGGCTGACATTCATATGTTCAAGGGCAGACACTAACTATTTAATTTAAAATATATAATGTTGTGTCCTGGCTGGTGTGGCTCAGTGAGTTGGGCATCGTCCTGTGCACTGAAAGGCTGCAGGTTAGATTCCCAGTCAGGGCACATGCCCGGGTTGCAGTCTTGATCCCCAGTAGGGGTCATGCAGGAGGCAGCAGATCGATGCTCTCACATCAATGTTTCTCTCTCTCTCTCTCTCCCCCCCTTCCTCTCTAAAAATCATTTTTTTTAAATCTTTAGAAAAAAGTAAATAAAAAATAAAAATATTATACAATGTTGTATTTCTCAAAACAAATATAAGTCTCCAGCCTGGTATGTAAACAATCCAAAACTGTGACACAATACAATGGTCTCCCTAACCCATGCAGCACCCTAACCCACACAGCGCCCTAAACTTCGTACCATAATTTGGAAGTAGATACCTCCAGTATAAATAGAACGTTTACTCATTTAACTTTTTAATTTAGCATATAACCAAAAAGAAAAGTTGATTAGAAAATCTGTTATCTAAATAATAACTCCTTAAAATTGTGATTATACTTGGTACTTTAAACTGGCCAAGGTGATCTCTGTCACCTAGAATGTGAGGTCACTCAAGTATGTTTAATTATTTCGAATCACTTAGGCAAACAATTTTGTTGTTAAATCCCAAGACTCCCAATAACTCAAAGTGAAGTCTCTATCCCATACGCCAACACCAAGGACTGCCCAGCACAGAGCCTGGCTGAGGAGGCAAACCCCAGAGGGCCTGTGAAAACCAAAGCCAGGACCCTCCAATCTCCCCAGCACCTCCTGGCAGGACAGAAAGACACTGCTACTGCCACCGCGGAGACAACCATGTACTGAGAAGCTCCAGTTCTCCTCCTATTCCATTTGAACCCTAATATTTGTGACAATAAGAGCATCTTTTGCCCGGCCAGGCGTGGCTCAGTGGTTGAGCGTTGACCTAGGATCCAGGCAATCGGGGTTCAATTCCCGGTCAGGGCACATGCCCGGGTTGCAGACTCAATCAATGACTCTCTCATCATTGACGTTTCTCTCTCTCTCTCTCTCTCTCTCCCCGCCTCTCCTTTCCTCTCTCTGAAATCAATAAAGATATATTAAAAAAAAAAAAAGAGCATCTTTTTACTTCTGACATATCCACAAATAAATGGCCAAGTAGGAACCAAGGAACATAAAGCTTTCAACACCCAGCACAACTCTGAAAATGCAAATGTACTTTCACTCCAAATGACAACAAGCGAGACAGAAAATACTAAACAAACGTACAATTAAAGTAGCAGTTTGGCTTTTTCCACTTTAGATATAAGTTATTGGTAGAATTCAGCCTGGGTTGCTTTTCAAACTTCATACCTACACATGTTACTACTGAGAATACCGCTGTCCAAACAGGCTGTGGTTGAGCAAGTAACTCGTGTGCATGAAGTGCAACTTCTGTTAACACATCTGGACCATTTATGTAGAGCAGTCTCCCTCTCTTTCTCCCTCTCTCAGAGACTACACAATACTTGACTCAAAGCTGGTTTATACTTGGTTACTCCAAAGTCGCCCCATCTACTGATACCATGCATTAGCTACATCTCTGTGTCACATCTTCTTACCTTGCAACAAAAAATCTGTCTGGGCCACATTTCATTGTCTAGAAAGTGATTACATGACCCAAAAAGCTGAATAAACTCTAACAAAGTATCTCTCTGTTTCATATCCTTGAGTCCAAATGTCGGTATCTTATTAGGAAGAAGCCACTTAATTAGTTTTACTGGTAGAATTAATATTCTTTCTGTGAGCTCAGGAAGTCAAGATATTACTCAACGCTTTCTTCTGTCACAGGACTGCCAAAGAAGGGGTGGACGACTGTCAACAATGGCTGCTACGTGTGTTCTTGATGAAAGCTGAGGTTCAATCACCTCCAGCCCACCCAAACCCAAACCTTTCTGAGTGGCCCAGAGGCTGGCGAAGGTGAGGTCTTTCACCCCAGTGACATGGCCCACGGTAGATAGTGCTTTTGGAATCACTGCTGCCAACTGTACAAGAACTACCTAGAGTCAGGTCGAAAGTGAGGCGGCAGATATAATATAAATCTGACCTGTTTCCTACGTTGCTAAGGGCATTAGGAGAAAGACGTCAGATAAGCAATGACCAAATTGGCAAGATGTCTTGCCCGTGAAGACAGGAGGTGCTCTGACAGGACCCATTACTCCAGAGTAGTACAGGCACCCCCTGGATCCTGACATTGTCCTAAAACTACCAGGCAAACCTGACGTAGCTGTAAATAGCAAGACTTGGGGACTGCTGAGGACAACATGCTCCAGGAGGTCACTGAGTTCCAGAAACAGGTCAGTGTGCTGGTTTTTAAAATCCTTTATTTTTCAGAACACAAAGGTACTACAACCGGACAGCAAAAATGAAACACGTGCATCTTATCCACCCTTAATAATAAGGACCAGGCTTTAAAAGTGGTTAGAACCGAGCAGGAAAGAAACTCCTACCAAGTGGGGCACAGTAACTTTATCACGAAGGTAAAAACAGTACCTAGCAAAGCTGCTTCAAATTGTTGAGTTCAAAGCCTACAGTATTTTTAAATAAATTACATTAAAAGAACTGTGAAGGTTTTGAACTTAAACAACAAAAACTAATTCCTATTCATTAGGGTACTTCTAAGCTACCCCTACACCCATAGGCTACGTGCACAAAACCTAATTATTTCAATTATGCTCCTGCCTCACCTAAACACTGAACATGCTAATGACGTAGCACCCTCCTCCGGGCGGGAGTTACAGAGGGCTCCCCCCACAATTAGAGCAACGGGCTTTCTGCCGGGCTGCTCTCCAGGGTCTTGGAATAGAAGGGATCTGACTGCTCATGTTCCAGGGCTTAGCCACAGGGAGAAGCCACTGTATTTCTGCTTCCTCTTCAGGGGTCTCTACCATGGGCTCTCCTGGACGCTCTGTCCTTGGGATTGTCCTTCACGCTATCACCACACTGTGCCCTTCCTTCCTCACTTCCGTGGTAAAGGACCACCCCCAGCACACGACTTCATCTCCTCTGTCTGGTGACATCACAGGACCAGGCACAGAGGGGCTGGGCTCCCTCCCACTCTGGGAACACACCACTTCCCCGAGGTATTTCCTCAAGTGTCTCAGCGCTGGATAGATTCTCGCAGATTCTCCCCCTTTCCCCTCTTTAGTCCACTAGTCCCTGAGCCTGAGACACAGAGTCTGAGTCACCCGCACACGTGTGCTACTGGGAAGGAGATGCACAATGAACAGAAAGGGGAAAGGGGTGGGGGGGGGACAGCGCAGCTGCTCTGGGACGCCGACGGGCACCAGCACACAGCTTAGCTTGACCCTCCTGACACTGTATGAAGCGGTGACGATCTAACAAAAAGACAGCCTCTGGCACCAGCACGTGGCCAGCAGGAGCATGGCAACACTTCAGGCCAGCGTGCCCTCCAAGCTGGGCTGAGATCTAAAAAGCAAGCGCGAGAATTCAACTCCAGGGACACGGTGACTCCAAAACAAGTCCCAGTATCTCCCAGAAGGAAACAGAGCTAGTCTTGCAGGGAGGCGCTTCCTGACACTAAGTATCGTGTTTTCTCAGGTCACTGGAGAGTAGGGCTCAGAGCAAGCCACGCACATGTCCCAGGGACTCACGTGACACATGTCCCCTGCTCCGTGTGCCATGCATTCTGGGTAAGTCACTGCTGTCATACTTTTTTCTTTAATGTTTTTACACTGATTATATTACAACTCTTTTTAGTAGCCCAGAGTAAAAAAATTCAAACTTCATTCTTTAAAAATAATTTAAAATGTAAGTTACAGCCCAGCAAATTTCCCATAGCACTAGATGAAGTAAACCCATGGGGACAGCGTCATCACTAACCTGTCATCTACACTTTCCTTAAAACAGAAAATCGTAAAACACTGTTTCGTGTCCCTTGGTTTTTCCCCTGCACAGCTCTGACAGATGCCCTGAGGCTCATGGTTCTGCATGTAATTAGTCCAAACGTCCATCCTGCCCTAGAACTATCTATGTTACAGGCCTGTTTCCCACCTCAAACAGTCCACCAGCAGCAAACAGCAAAACTACAGCAACTGGCCAAGCAGCTGGTTAGAGAGTCGCCAGGAATACTGGTCACAGCGCAGTCAGCATGCTGCCCAGCTCACTCAATGGCAAACAAGACTCTATTTATCGTGAGCCTCCCATCACCCACAACCCCCACTCGGTGACACCTCTGCGCTGGCTGGGTCATCTGCTCATTCTGGCTGCACTCCCTTTCTAACACATTAGCCTCGGCAGGTGTTTCCTAATGAACCACTTTCTACTGGAGGAACCGAAGGACCCAGAAGGGTTCCGGAGTGACCTTTCTCCTACTAGGGACCACAACATGAGAAAAGGCCGTGTTTCTGGTTTGGCTTAGTTTTGATTAGACCTGACTCTAATTCTTTACTTCAAGAAGCACTCTATCTACCTGCCTGGGTCCTCGCCTCCTGGCTGTAGGTTAGAATAGCAGGGAGCTCAGGCGGGAACAGTCCGCACACAGGTATCTGCTGGACTCCATTCCTTAGAATCTGGTGTGTTTACGACATAACCACATGATTATCTAAATGAGACAGACTTACCATCATATTTACCACTTTAATGACGTGTTATAAAGCCAACAGTATTGCCTGGAGTTACAATTCTAGATTAAATAGGCTTAAATTTTAAAGTAGCTTTAGTAAAGTTGGAGGGTAAAAGCTCCTTGTAGCTCCAGTCTAAAGACCATTGGCATCAAAGTGCACAGCATCACCGACAGGAATTCTCCAGAACAGGTACAACCTGGAATTCCTTCACCCAAGAACAAAGCTCTGAATGGTACCTGCACTGTTGGGTTGAAGATTTAAATTGTTTGTAATTAAAGAAAGTGGGTCTATTTCTTCCTCTTTCTCAACATTTCATACTTAGAGTAACCTTCCTCTTCATACCTACCCTTGAACTATGATTCTGAAACACAGTGAGCTGTTCGTTAACAAGCTGATCTTGGTGGCAGGTTTTCAACATTAAAAAACACTTTGTAAGAGAAAAGTGTGCAGGTGAAAATCGTCCAAGTAAAATCAAAGCGAATTTACACAAACTATGTCACTTCTCACTGTGTATCATTACTCTTTTCCTCACTGGTTCTTCATTTCAAGCCAAAAATGACATGTAACTAAAAACTGAACCCTTGGTCACCAGGTGATGATGAACAGGTCCCCACATGCCCGCAGAGTCCCATACACTCCTCAGAGTCAAGGTCAGCACTTCAGGGTCAGAGACACCTGCTCTCTACCTCGGAGTCAACAGGAGGGAAATGACACAATGTGATAGTCACTAGACAGCAGGCCACTCTGCCAACCTCGGGAGCCGGAGTCACGTGCTCCCCACACAGGAGGGCTTGGCAGTGGGCACAGCTGCCAAGTTCAGGTCCCGGAACTGAACTGACCTGGCTCAATAACCACTGATCAGTCAGGGAGTCATGGGAATTTGACCAAAATGCCACCCATCTTCTCCAACCTTCTTCACTGGGAAGTTCACGTCACTCCAAGTCCTGGCCTCGTGCAACAGCACTGGGCGGTGAGAAGCTGTGTTTCCCCTCAACTACCTGTCTTCTTTGAATTAATAACTGCTTCTTCTGGTCTGAATGTGTAATAAACGAATACGTACCATTGAGTCGTCTCTGCAGTGCCTCCTCCTCAAGGGTAATAATATAAATCTGTTCGTCCAGGTCTTCAAGGATCTAAACGTAAAGAGCAAGCTGCTGAATGATGTGGCATCACAGAACCAGCGCTCATGAGAACGTGCAGGCACTCTGGCCTGTGATTCAGATTAGCATTCAGACTACTAGGAATCTAAAATAAAAATGCTCAAACTACTTGATTTACAGATTAAATAAATATATTTCATTGTATAACTAAGCACATCAAAAGCTGATGACCACAAAATCTACATGTATTTAAATTGGGTGTTTTTTAAGTTTAAAGAATTAAATTACTCTGCAGCTCTCAATGGCAAACAAATGTATAAACTCTAAACATCCAGAAAAGCTAAATACAGTAGCACCTCATTATACCAGCCAATACTGTAGAGCTGGAGGGAGGATCGCCTCATCCAACACGGGTTTCTCATCTCTATTTCTCTACATGATGTTTAAAACAAGAAATCCACAAACTGAATCACTACCAGGCAATCTTTCCCATTGACATCATCCCTGTACACTAGAAATTTCCCACAAAGATTCGTCACTGGTGTATTAAAATCACCCTACAGACAGAACCTAGATAACAGTGGGCTGACACGTACCCCTCCCTGTCACACAGCGTGAGGGAGAAACAACAAAACCACTGATCAATAACAGTCACATGGGACGTTATCCGCACCATTTCCAAAGCTGACCCTCAACTGTCCCATCCCAGCTTTGCTAACATGGCTGTGCTCGAAATGACCTGAGTGTGTACCTGGCTCTGGAAAAAACCCAGAAGGAACCCAGAGCTGGTGTCACTGTTCTGTGTAATTCAAACCCACAACTTCTCCCAGTAACGCAGTGATGTGAGGAGTGAGGACAAACCAGAGGAGGGAAAGTCTGCTGTTTCTCTCCCTCTGAAGTCTCCCACCATGTACCCCGTCAGATACGAAGTCTGCAGAATTCACATAAGATTGATTTACAGCAACCCAGTAATTCCCAGGGTTTCAATAAGTGCTAACACTTGATTATTTTAGTTAAAGAAGTGAGGCCAGAGCCCGACCAGCATAGCTCAGTGATTGAGCATCAACCTAGGATCCAGGAGATCGAGGTTCGATTCCTGGTCAGGGCACATGCCTGGGTTGCAGGCTCGATCCCCAGCAGGGGCCGTGCAGGAGGCAGCCAATCAATGACTCTCTCATCACTGATGTTTCTATCTCCTTCCCTCTTCCTTCATCTCTCTGAAATCAATAAAAACATATTTTTAAAAAGTGAGGCCAGGCTCAGAGACAGGCAGTGGAGGCTGCTGACATCAGAGCTGGCCTGAAGGAGGCTGTTGGGCTGGAGAGGTAGGAGGCATCTCTACACACAGCAGGTCAGCTGAGTCTAGAATTAGAGTCACCTGGGGGGGCAGGGAGGGCAGGAGGGCAGTAGCTACAGGTAAACCCGGCAAGGACAGGTTCTGAAAGGTCTTGTAACATGTTAGTAGTTAGTAGATTAGAGTTTGTAGGGGGTGAAGATCCATGCAAGCAATTTGAGTGACAAATTTCCTAGATACAGCTAAGAACTGTCTTCACATTTGAAATATCTGACAAAATACCTAGAGGCCAAAAAAACTTAAGGACAAATTATTAGAATTACTGCTCACTGAAAATCATTTGAAAATGAATATATAGTACTTCTGAGATTAAAGGAACAAGATCTAATATGCAACAAGTTTTCAAAAACATAACTGGTTTGTAAACCAAATGTATGTGGTAAATTTTGAAACCAAAGTTGTTATTTGATATAAAGTAACGAACATCTAAAATACCTTTAAATATTTCTAAATCTTGTCTTAAAACTCACTACAGAATTTTTACCTGAGTACCTATAGTTAATATTTTATAAGCAAAAACAAATGTGGCTTCCAAAAATGAAAAAGATTAAAATAAACACAACGACAATTTGGGTCATAAACCCACAGCAGTACTCTTCTCCTGTTTCTGAGGCTGGTTCACACCTAAAGCTGTCCATGTAACAGTCACTCAACAAACACACGGGTCCTGGCACACAGTTCCTGGCATACTCACCGCCGGCTTCACCAGCAGCTGGCCCATGACGGTGAACATGCGAGACAGGCCCACCGGGGTGCACACTGTGGAGAGACGGGACAGAGAGCATTTACAACAGAACAGGCAGAGACCACCAGCCCAAAGACCCAGCTGACTCAGTCTACGGTTTAAGAAAGCTCTGTCTCAGCTTTAGACTCTCCTGGTGTCTGTTGGAGGCTCTTCAGCCTTGCCAATGAGGG